GGTCAGATATCATGAAAACGAAAATATTATCACTGCATCAACATTGCAAGCTGGCAGCTATCATACACTGTAAAATATTACCATGATTTCACAATATTTAGCTGTAATATTTTACAATAAATTACTGTTTTACCACTTTACAGTCTTTACCTGTAATGTTCACAATATAACACTGTAATTTAGAATGTCACAGTGAAATCAATACAGGCACAGTTAATTACTGTGAATGTACAGGATAAATTATTACCAGGATTTCACAACATGTTACTGTATTATTTCATAGTAAAATACTGTATTCAGACCATCCTCTGTGATAACACAACAAATTAAGTGATTTTCTTGCTTGTATCGCTCTTGCTTGGCTTTAAATACTCATTTCTTTCTTTGGTGCAGGGGCACCGCTGCATGTGCCTTAAAATAAATGAGGCAACATATACATCTATGTAAATTGAAATTGTTGTCTTGGTTTATTGTTTTCAGGTGCTTCCTGGGCATTAAACCTGAGACGGGCTCGAAAGCCAAAAAGAGGCATGGCAATTTAAACCCCCATGTCAGCACATTCTTCTGATTTTTTTTTACTTTGAGTGGATGTCTGTGTAGACATGTGTTAAGTGCTCCCCTCCTTGTTTTCTGTCTGCCCAGGTGCACCTGGTCTGCCCCTGGCTCCGCCTCTGCCCAGGTGTTTAAAATTCCACTCAGCCGTGTATATATAAAGAGAAGCTGGAGGAGAAGGAGGTCTCGCCTATCCTAACGCCGGGAGACACTCTCCTTAGAATACCTCTTTGCCATTTTGAGCTGTAGGCCATATTTTTGCAGGTGTCTTTATGTTTAGCCTGGAGGACCTGGTAGTCCAGTTTTCGTGGGTTTATTTTGTTTCCCATTAGGTTTATAATTGATTTTTGGTTAGGCGGGGGAGTTCTGGGTCCTACGGCCCGTGGTGTGGCTGGCTCCGATTCCCTCCTTCTGTTTGTTCCTTTTGGCCAGTCCTCCAGACCTCTTTTTGTTTCCCGTTTTGCTTGTGTGAGCAAACGGCTGATTATCAATAAATGCTCGTTACCAAGTACCGGTTATTGCGTGTATTCTTTCATGTTGCAGGTCTCAGCACCAGCCACTACGCGGAGTAGAGGTTGGGGCTGTAACAACATGTCCAAGACACTGTGAGATGTACTTTGCACTTCAATGGAGTAATACAAAGTTAAAATGGGCATTTTCTTTATTTTTCTTTGTTGATTGAGCTGATTGAATTGTGTAGTTATGGTAAAATCCCAGTTAACTAGTCAGATTTACAATATATTATCGTATTATTTACATTTTTATATTTACAGTAAATTACTGGCTACTGTGTTGCATTACTTTTACAGTAATAGTGTGAAAATAGAGGTAATTACTGTAATTTATGTACAGCAAGGTACCATAATATCACAGCTCTGTACTGCTATATCACAGTAATTCCATGGGCATGGCAACTGTAAAGTCACAGTATTTAGTTGTACTTTTATTCTAATTTACTGTAAAAATATCTACAGTAATTTACTGTGAAATATTCACAGTCATATTCACCGTGAAATCCATGCAACTAGTAGCCAGTAATTTACTGTAATTTTACAGTCAAACATTTTACAGTGTACATCATCAGCTACCATGTCTGACAGAGAGGAAGACAGTGAGGAGAACAGTCAGGAGGGTAGTGATGACAGCTTGTAGGATTACTGGTCGTGCTAATGTTGTCTTGTGTTCACCTCTGCATGTGTGTTCTGTGTTCACCTCTGCATGTGTGTTCAGTGCCGTGTGTCTGGCAAATAAAGTCAAGACCCCCTCAAAAGTTACGGTTTATTTCATTTTAAGGATGAGCACCAAGCAACATCTCCAGGTGCTCCTTTGAGAACCAGGGCAAAAAAGTTATGTGCACCCCTGCTTATTAACCCTACAGCATACTGTTGCCCTCAGGTAACAAACCACTTTTTTCGACCTCACACTGGCCCTCTAAAAAAAAATGTTTTTTTAAATATACACAATGTCACCTGACATGCTGGTGTCCAATAAAATGAGGGAATTATATGGGTGTGGCATTTTGTCTGGGGGTGGAGCAGTCCTTTCTGCAAGCAAAACTGCAGGGGACTCAGGGCCACCACTTGGTAAGATACATTTAACTTTTTAACATATTAGAAATGTACACAACTTAAAATAAAAAATACATGCATGTGCATGAATACGTAAAGAAGTATATTTGATTGTTTAAAGACTTATTATGTATTTATTAATTAGCTAAAACTATGTTTTTTTGTTCGTTGCCTCAGGGCAACACTGTGCCACTTGACCACTTTTTTCCAGGCAATATCATACAAGTGTGCAAATGTGCTCAGCTGTGAAATGATAAACCTAATCAATGTTTTTACATCTACTGATATTTACAGGAAATGGACAACAAAACATGTTATGGGCAGAAGGGACACGATCAGGCTGTTAGGGCTATTCCGTCTGACAGTGAGGACAGTGAAGGTCAAGATAGGGTTAGGCACACAGACACACACACATAGACACACATACATACACACACAGACACAAACACACACATAGACACACTCACGGACACAGAAACGCACACAGACAAACACATACACCCACACACACACACACACACACAGAGAGACACACACATACAAACACATACACACACACACACACACACATACAAACACACACACACACACACACACACACACACAGGCACAAACACACACACACACGCACAGACACACACACACATACATACACACAGACACACAGAGACATACAAACACATACACACAGACACGCACACACACACACCCACACACACACACACACACACACACACACACACACACACACACACAGAGACACACACATACAAACACATACACACAAACACAGACACACACACACAGACACACGGGTGGCGCAGTGGTCCGTGCGTTTGATCATCAGATCAAGGGGGCGTTGGGGAACTCCAGTTCAAAACCCGCTCCTGCCCCACTGTGTCAGGCCGTTGTGTCCTTGGGCAAGACACTTCACCCGAATTTGCTCCTGTGGGTATTGTCCACAGTAGATGACCATTACATGTATGTATGATCTGTATGTGTAATGTGTATTTGTAAAGCGCTGTGAGAGTCTTTGATAAAGCGCTATAATAAATATAAGGATTATTATTATTACACAGGCACACATACACACACACACAGAGAGACACACACACACAGAGAGACATACACACACACACACACACACACACACACACAGAGAGACATACAAACACACACAAACACATACACACACACACACACACACACAGAGACATACAAACACACACACACAGACACATACAAACACATACACACATAGAGACATACAAACACATACACACAAACACATACACACACACACACAGAGAGAGACATACAAACACACACACACACACACACACACACAGAGAGAGACATACAAACACATACACACACACACACAGAGAGACATACAAACACACATACACACAGACACACACACAGATATACACACACAAACACACAGACACACACACACACAGACACACACCCACCCACACACACACACACAGACACGCACATATACACACACAAACACACAGACACACAGACACACAAACGCACATACACACACACAGACAGACACGCACATATACACAGACAGACACGCACATACACACACACACAAAGAAAACCTTTTGAATTCATATAGAGTTGTTTTTTCTATTTCTTCTGAATTGTAGAAATCCTTGGTGTTTCATACCCTCGTAGCACATTGTTGCCCTGAGGCAACAAACCAACCCCTGGTTGAGGGGTGAGGGGGGGTCACATTTGATAATTGATATAATATCAGGGACCCCTAAGCTCCTAAAACACATGGTGAAACATTTTTTTCCTCCCAAAATAAAAAGTCATGCCATAGAGGGTTTTAATATCTAAAGCATTAGTGCGTTTTGATCATAGACTGTATATGTTTGATAGACCGCAAATACCTCATTCCTTCCGTCTACTTGGGTCCGAATGCTTCTCGTTTTGCGCCGTCCTGTTCAAATGAAATCGCCGCGAATCACATTTCCTTGCTCGTGCCAGGGCCGGGGGAGGGGTTACAAGGCTTGCGTCTTGTGCTGCATTCAATTGCACTCGGACATTAGGGATTTTCTATCAGCAATGTCCGATGAGCTACAACTTTTATTTCAAAACAAAGCTGCCAACCCGGTAGATCCGCCCCTGCTTGACCGGTACTTGCCTTTGATCAAAGTCAATGCGGAAAACCCGCACTCACTCAAGTAGGCAAGGTGAAGGGAATGAGCACTTTTCCAGCCTTTTTGGCGAGGTGGGGGAACTCGGTCTCCACAGACAGCCAAAAGTGTGCAAATGACGTTTTCTGCCAGACGCTGTCTCCTCTTTCACTTTAGGTAACTTCACTAACAATCAATCCATGTTGCCACTCGCATAAAGTTAGCTGAAGTTAACTAGCTAGATTTAACTGTTTTTTCTCACGCTGCGCCTCCCGTGAAGCTCTGGCGCCCTCCAGGGGTCATATTCGCTGCTTTTGGTGTATTTTGTGGAGGAAGTACAGCGCCACTTACAGGCCCGGCATATGTACTACAGCGTCTCCAGCAGGTCGAGCGGTCTCGTGTGGACGGACACGTTTCTTGAGCTGATTCCGTGTGGACGGAAGACTTTTTTTATATCGACCTCAGTTTGCTTTCGTCTCTGTGTGGATGGGGCCAAAACTCTGCTGAATGTTCTCTCTGGCCCCCAGCTGGCACATTCAGCCCAATTAACTAATTTGCCTCCTGCTCTTTTTCTACCAAATAAATTAAGACTCTATTTCCCCTCTGCAGCCGCTCCACTTGCCCTCAACTGGAACTGCTGCCTATTGCAGAAGGAAAGAGACTGACATTTAGCTCACTCTCATGGTGTGTTTATTTGAGTGGGTAGAATAATTGCCTGTAATATAACATATGTTTATTAATGTCAATATCTTTCATAGAAGAACATTTGAAATTATTTCTATACAAAATGTAGTTTCCTTAATTAAATGTGTAACAAATGCATTAGCCAGGCTACAGCAAAAATATTGTTCTGCTTTTAAATTAGCGGTGGTGCCTGTCAGCTGAACTTCCCTAGTATCATTTCGTAACCAATCAGTGCTTTTTAAAGATTATTTTTCCCCATATAGAGCAGCAAATCTTGCCTCTCTGACTTAAAATGATTGCTTCAGTGTTGCTTCTGCATTCACCACGACATCTACTTTTCCGAACTAGCAGCTTTGGCTGTGGCTATAAATATATATTTTTTTTTTAAAACACATTACTCGTCTTATCAGCTTTGGGACATATAAGGTGACTCAAAAGAGTTATATAATATTCAGAAACAGAGAGCAGTGTATATGTTTAAAATAATTTATGATGATTGCAACTTTGCAAAGATTACAACTTGTGTGGCATCTCAATAAAAACCTGCTGTCTTCAGCTTACTGAACCAAAGAAATGAACAGACTTACTTACAAAAAACGTAAATAACCCTGAACATGTGTATGAATTTATATACACTGTAGTACTGTACAGTATGGTTTAAGGTTTCTGACGCAATGGATGCAATACACTTTTAGCTGGAATCATGGATTGAGATATCACATTTATATGTTATTTTAAAAAAAAGTATCTTAACTCAATGTCCAATTCTACCTTTGTCCAGAGATATCAGCTGCATATAAAAGTGTTCATATGTGGATAATTTGTCTTAATGTTGAGACATTGCATTAGTTACACATGAAAATGAAACTTGACAGAATGTCCTCAGAATGTCCTCACAATATACAGAAAATCCCTTTCCTCAGACATGTCTGTCTGAGGAAAGAGATTTTCTGTATGTTTACAGCTTTACCAAATTTCCCTCAAAGATGTCTCATTTAAATATGTATAAAAAGAAGTAAAACAGAAAAAATATTTTTAAAATATAGGGTAAAAGTCCAAAATATAACAAAGCATGACAACATATACGTATTAATATATATCTCTTTTTTTGAGTGATTGAGTTTCAAAAGTCCACCAATGTTGAGATTTAATAAAAATAGAGAGGTATCAAAACTAGTTCTTTGTTGTTCAGCAGTGACAAGATTATTTCCTGTAAATAGTTCGAAGTGTCTCTTTGGGTTTATCACATAAATGTGGAGGTGAGTTCTGACGACACTGAAGACCTGCTGCTTCTGGTCACAGACGTTCTTTCCAGGATGCGCATCTTCCTCAAGATCTGCATAAAGCTCTTCCTGAACTTCTCCCCCACGAAGGCATAGAGCACTGGGTTGACACAGCTGTGGAGCAGCCCCAGACTCTGGGTGGCGAACATGGCCTGGTCCACTGCCATCCTCGCCGAGCACTGGTACAGCGCTATCTTGGTCCTGGAGAGGGTGCCTGCCATCACTGCGATGTGGTACGGCGTCCAACAGAGAAGGAAAGCGACCACCACAGACACGATCACTCTCATGGCTCGCTGCCGCTGAAACCCTCCCCGGATGTGAAGGAGGCGCTTGATGGTTACTCCATAGCAGGACAGCATGATGGCCAGGGGGATCAAAAAACCCAACGTGTGGCGAAGAATTCTAGTGGCCAGACGCCATTCGTTGGCACTAGTGGGATCATACTTTTCAGAACATTCCATCCGACTGAAGTTAGAAGATTTGAAGGAGGAATTAAAAAGCCCCGGCAGAGACAGAAGAGTTCCAACAGCCCAGACGGCAGCACACACTCCCCAGCTGACCAGCTGCCGGTTCACCCTGCGGGCCTCCATGGCTCGCACGATCACCATGTAGCGGTCCACGCTAATGCAAGTCAGGAAGAGGATGCTGGAGTAGAAGCTCAGCTCTTGGACGATGGTGACGACTTTGCACATGGCGTCTCCGAACACCCATCCCTGCGTGACGGAAGTAGCCCAGAACGGGAGGGTGAAGGCCAGCAGGAGGTCAGCAACAGCCAGGTGGAGGAGGTAGAGGTCAGAGGGGGGCAGCGACTGCTTGCTCAGGCCGATCACCAGAGTCACCACCAGGTTTCCAGGAATGGCCAACAGGAAGATGAGGATGTAAAACACGCTGACGACAACCATGGCTGCATTTGGGATGGAGTTGGCTTCACAGGGCTGCGTGTCGGGGTTAAGGGTGAACTCCGAGTCGTTGTACATGTATGTGAAGTTGAGTTCATCGTAAATGGCGCCGAAGTCTAGAACAAAGGGAAATGTGGTTGGATCTGAGGATAGCAATCAGGATAACATTTTAGTTATGTAAAACAACTACTATAAAGCTGTTAAAGGTACAATGTGTAGTTTTACATTTCACCTGTGCTATAGGGTCCATTCATCAAAAATTACTCATCATTTCATTAAAAAAAGACTAACAGGGCAAGAATATGCACAATTACACTGAAGTGCTTCAATTCTGTATATATCTCTCATAATATATCGACATATTTGACTCTATAACCCACTGGTTTCCAAACGTTTTCACTGAGGGCAACATACAGAGAGACATAGGAAGGGCTGGGCCACTCAGTAGAGGTGAGGTATATTGCCTCATAAGTTAAGAGAGCAAAATCAATCAAATGTGGGTAAATCATGCTTGATACTTGAAAATGCATTAATAAAGAAAACAGCCTACATCACAGCTCTCCATAGGGTTTCATTTATTTTGTTTCAAAAAGTGTTAGCAGCTCATTCCTTAAAACAGAAATATAAAGGGTATATTTCTGGTTTGTTATGCAAATAGGTTATTGGGCTTCTTTTGATCAACTTGTTAGAAAGTGTTTTCAAATGAAATGTCTTACACATTACACCTTTAACTTAAACACGATAACATGAATGTATTATTGAACAGATCTGACAGGCTGCATGCAGTAGGCTGAACACACAAAGTCACTGTGAGTCAGCAGAGCACAAAGCCAGCGGTGGAAGAAGTACTTTGAGAAACACCACAGTGTACAACTACACTGATAGATGGGAAAGTCCTGTATTTAAATTCCTACTTAAGTAAATGAACTAAAGTAGCATCATTATCATATAAATTATCAGAAGTTAAAGTACTCATCATGCAGAGTAGTATTATTTTATTGGATTATTACTCTTTATGCATTTAATAATACAGCCACTATGGGTGAAGCTTTTTTTCATGACTTCATATAGGCAGCTTTATCTATACAAATAAAGTATAATGTATGAATTAATTTGATTTCAATGTAACTAAAGAGTAATACAAAGCTGTATACACTGAAAATACTGAAGTAAAGAACACATACCTACATTTTTCACTGAAGTACAGTATTTGAGTAAATGTATTTAGTTACATTTCAACATTGGCACAGACAATATTAATGTTTAAACATTAGTTGTTACAGTGTTGTAAACATATCCTGTAACTAGCATGAAACAATATAACTATAATTATTCTACAGTTTTGAAAGGAATGATAAATCAGTCATTTCTTTACATCTTTTCAGAATTTCAATCAGGATAATAAATGTACATTTGTATTTTAAGGATGACTACTCACCACCCATTGTGGAGTGTTCTGTGTAGAGGCTCTGAGTATGTCATAAAGGCACTGGGAACACACACTTTAACCAGTTTCTCTACACTCCTCCCATCACACACACTCATCACACACTTATTGTCCTGTTCTCACACACACACACACACACACACACACACACACACACACACACTTAGATTTTGCTCAAGATTTCAAAAAGGAAGATATCATTTCACAGGAAGAAGATCACACATTTAAAAATGTAAGTTGAAGGTTGTGTTTAAGGTGTTATATTCTGTAGATTTAGCCCACTCCAAAGACATTTTATATATTCAAATACTATTTGGTTAAATGAATAAATGTTGTCAAGACCTAGCTATTGTTTTGTTAGGTGTTTTTTTTTTTTTGTTCTTCTTGTGTGTCAGTGATCCACACCAATGAGAAGTGCTGTGCTCCACATGTACCAGCCATTGTTAACCAATCAGAAGTGGCCCATGATAGAAGGTGATAGACAGATTCATCCAATCACCTGCCAAGTATTTTTGAAAGTGCCTGCCCTTTCCAAATGGCTTCCAATGGAGCTAAATGCTTTGGTGAAACAAACCATCTGAGTCAGGTTAGTAATGCTCCATCACATGTTCTACATCTATTACAGGGTGAATCTTAAACTGAAGCTTGACTTTAAAGTGGACCTATCATGCTATATTTGAAAAATATATTGTAGGGCCATATCTATATAAAACATTTTTGTGAAGTTTTTTTTCAAAATACCAAACAGTTCACCCATTGTAGCCATGCCTCTTACTGCTCAAACCCCTCTTTTGCAGCCCGTTAGAGAAATGCAGATTGTGGGCCCTTAGCTTGAAAAAGAAAGAAGAGGAGGCGGAGCTAATGCCTGATCAGAATTCTACCGGAGATAAAGTACATTTTGGTTGTGATAAAACGCCATCCTGTTTAAACCACGTCAAGGATTATTTCTGAAATAGTATGGAGCTCAATGCTTTTACGTCCAAAACACGTCAGGCATTGTTTCTGATAGCAATTTTCTGTGGGTCTGCCGCCGATTTGACGTCAGATCGGATGGATACGTCACAGCGGATGGAAATCTGGATCAGCTTTGTTGTAGCCCCGTTTTTAGAGATTTGGGTAGGCTACAGAGGACAAGAGAGAGGGATTTATTTTCTGACGCTGCGTGAGTTCCCCGACACACTGGGGACACATATTTATGTATAAAAGACATCACAAAGTGCATTGTGCATGATAGGTCCCCTTTAAAGCAACCCAACGGAAGTTTCATGTAAGTTTAGTTCTTTCACTCAACTCGGGCTGCGGGGGTGCTAGAGACGGGAGCATGTTGATGCGACCTTCCTAGCCGGAGATACAATAAACAATAAACCTCCGTTGGGTCGCTTAAAAACAAATATCGCAAATCGAATTCGATTTTTTTCCCAAAATCGTGCAGCCCTAAGTTAAATCTCACAATTTTCAATAATCATAGTTTGGTTATTCCCTCACTACGATACTTCCCCGTAAACGAACCGGAGCTCAGTCATCTGATTCATGGCAGTCATGAGATGTGTTGTCACTGTGTGTGCCAAATCACAAGAGAAACCATACGTTCATGACAGCTTCATGAATTAATTACAAACACTGGGTGTATATATACAAGATACAGTATTTTAAAAAGGTATCTTGTTTATTCAAATTGTGCTAGGTTCCCTGCTTTTCCACACCCTGTTTAATCAGTCCAGGTAAACAGGGCTTTATTCTTGTCTAGATAGTAAATCAATGTATTCAAAAAGACACATAAATACTTACATATTGTAAAAAATAAGTTAGTTGTTAGTTAAGATAAAATTACCTTTACTATATTGATCCCAATTTGGGAATTTATTTTGTAACAGCATGTAAACAAAGCATTGTACATGAGTTAAAAATAAAGAAAACAGAAAATAATCTTAACAGTAAAAAATATACGTATGGACAGTTAATATTTTCATGTAAGTTTACTTTTTGTAAAATGTTATTATTTTTCTCCATCTGTCATATTCTTAACTCATATTTTTCACAAGTCTTATTCTTGTATTGTTCCCTGCCTAGGAGTTGAATGCAGCAACATTTCAATATACCTACTGAAATGTATATGTGACGGACAAATTATTAAAACTCTTGAAGAAAACCCGTAACAGGTTAAATACTTTTCCTCTGCCTATTATCACTAAGTGAAATATAAAAAATACCACATGATGCATCTGAGTGACCCCGCTGAGAGGAAGTTCCCGGCTCATGACATGCATGAGGCAAGCATCACATTTCCTGCCACCACTTCTCATGTGTTTCAACTTCCAGTGTCACAAGTACTGCAATTTAGTCACAAGTGGAATTACATAAACATGTTGAAAACATATGGGCAGGACAAATGATTGGGTTTCCAAACAATAACACTGTTTCTAGTATCTTCTATTAGATAGAAAGTTCCCTACTTCCCTATCCCATGTGATGGTGACACAGCAACACACAAGCTAATGCGTACGTCAACAACTCAATACATGTGATTCAAGTGTTCTTTAGTTTGATGTAGTTTAAGTGTGGGGAGATTAGTTTTGGTGTGAGGTATATGCATACAATTACCTAGATACCCTAAATTGTTTCATGACAAGTTTGTCCATCTTATATTAACGTACAATACATATGATAGCCTTAATTAGCAAGTGCTTCCTCCATGCTAAGCGGCTAATAGCTTTATCTGAGAAATATGTAAGGAAACCACTATTTAGACAGTGTCAGGGATATATCATTCTGTATTTAAATGGAGATAATCATTCATATGGTTAAAGGAAAGCCTTCAAATGGATTTGGGAGACTTTCATTGACTTTATAGTAAATACTGAGATGTGTCTGAAGCATGACAGAAGGTGATGAGAGGGAGTGTGTGAGGGATTGATGGTTGGCTATAAACAGGTAGAACAAGTGACTTTTTGCTCAATGTATGTATTCGTTTTAGATATTTTTGCTCAATATCCTTCCTCACAAGAGTATTACATTAATGTATTGTATTATAGGTAATGTCTTGTCAGATTAATCTGTCTATGTTGGCAATGTTTTGTTGGTCTTCAACCTGAAAAAAAAAAGACAGTCATAAGAAAAAAGTTAAATGGGGTAACATCGACATCAGGAGGCCTTAACGTTGATGTGCTTGGTGCAACAAAGGATATGAGGAAACAGGGTTTGGTATATGCAATGAGTTGCTTCAAAATGAAACACAAAGGCTTTTGGTTTGCACAAGTACAAATCTTAAACTTAATGTTTGATTAATTGTGTGATTTTTGCCACAACCTGATAAAAAAAAGAGGCACACATCAGGTACCACTGAGATAAAGCACATACATGTTCTATACGTCCATCTCAGAACCCAATTCAAAGTATTGCTCTTCACATATAGAGCTGTCCATGGCCAAGCCCCAGCCTACATTAATGACCTGATCCACCCTCACAGCACAACCCGGGCCCTGAGGTCCTCTGAGCAAGGCCTCCTAAGGGTGCCCCGAACCAGGCTAGACCCAGGGTGACCGTGCCTTTGAGGCGGTGGCCCCAAGGCTTTGGAACAAACTCCCCCAGGAAATAAAAGCCTCAATAGAGATTTTTAAGGGGCAGTTAAAGACCCACCTCTTCCGACAGGCCTTTGGGTCGCCGGAGGAGGTGAGTTAGTAGCTGTCTTTCATTGGTGTTTTATCCTATGTATTACCTGCTGTTGTTTTATGCCTTTTATAGTTGTACTGTGAATTGTGTACTGTACTGTAAAGCACTTTGTACATTCGTGTTGAGAAGGGTGCTACATAAATAAAGTTTGACTTATAAATGCAGTTTACTTTAATAGCCACTAGATGGTGCCATAGTCAAAACATCACATGGAATTGAATGGTAGGCTTACTTTAAAATGTGTTAGCGATAGCATGGAGGTCTAAAAGCTGGTGAGATGTGTCGAGCTCACTCAGAGGGCTATATACTGTTCGTGTGTGTGGGGGGGCACAAGTAAATACTTATAGCTAAATGTACTCTTGCAGTCACAATGTGTTTGTTAGCCATGTTTCATTAGGGGCAGTATAATCAACTCGACATGCATTTCACAGACTACATGTGGCGGCTGAATTATAATAAAATGTTTTTCGGAAACATATTTAAATGGTCCCACCTTGATTACGGTACAATTAAATGGCAAAAAAAAGTTATCTATGAAAAACTGTTTAATATCGGTCTACCTACTTATCATTAAAAATTCTAAACTAACACCTTTCCTTTGAGAGTCACTTCAGATACAGTTCTGTTGAGAGGGAGGAGACCCTTTTGAAGAAGTTTGCTCGTGCATTCAGTCCATTTTCACCAACTTAAGGCCTTTTCCACCAAAAAGCAGAAATGGGGTTTCCTGATTTAAATGACAGCCAAGTTTGCCCCAACATAAATTAGGAGAAGAAAGTGCATCAAGTGTTCAAGTAGGGTGTGTAGTTTGAAAGAACATAAATGGGTTTTGGACAGTGTATGGGGGGGGTGGCAATTTGCCAAAAGTAAAGAAGGCTGAGTACCACTCGACCACTAAGGCTTCACGACATGTCCATAATTCATAGTTTTGCAAGCCAACATGGGATGTGATGGGAAGGGCAGAAATGTTTATATATTAAAAAAAAAAGCAGGGGGAAATGAGCATGTCCATATTTTTCCCACATGACCCCCCCGACCGCGATCTCATCTCTTGGCACGCCGTGGGTCCCTGCCGTTGCTAATGGTAACTGAAGACTTTGTGGGGGGTCCTGCTGCAGTGGCTGGAGGTGCTCCGTTGCCAGGTGACCGACCGTTGGGTCGCCCCATGCCCCCGTACGTAGGGTCACGGGGGGGACCGGGTGATGGGTTGTTGTTGTTAAACGACGACAAGGATCCATTACCTGTCGGTAGAGAAACACAGGTAAGTACACACAGAAACATCCCTAATGGGTCTTTGGAGATCTCACAGTAAAACACGCACAGGTGTGATCAATGAAAGCTGCATTTCATTGGCTGCTTTGATTCATGGTCCAGTTATTGTTAAAGCTGACTCACTGACAAACCATCATGGCTTACTGAGACACTTAAAATGTTTTAATGTTGTCTATTAAAGCAGATTTTTATTTATTCAGTATTTTTTCAATATTGTTTATACATTTTCTTCTAGGTGCATTGATTGGCATTTTACACCCATGTGTAATATCTGTTCCCTTTCTGCTGCTGTGGCCATTTTCCAATTGTGGATGATTTAGTATATCTAACCTAAATAATGCATGTCACAATGTGTGCTGTAAAACACTTTTGTAATCCTATCACTATACTGACATGCTCCAGTCATTTTGATATTGAATACTTTATTTGAAGTGGAACCATTTGAGAATTAAAAAAAATACTTATACAAGCTAAATTTAAGTTAAATAGTGCAATAAAAGTCCTTGTAGATGAACGGATACCGTTGATGTTTACCACTCCACAGGACATGCACGACTGCCGTTTCCTATGAATGAGTAACGGGTAGAGCTGTGGTCATTTGCATGAATAGCTATACCGACCTGGGGCAAGTGTACCTGAATTCTGATTGGGTGGAGAGTTTCCCCTCTGATTCTGGTCTGGTTTACCCTGGAAGTGGAAGAGAATGTCAACGTTAACACTGCGTATGGAACAGTATAGGACTTTTATGTGCAGACTTCCTTTATCAGGACAATTAGGTGTATCTGCAGAAGGTGACTTATTAGCTTTCTTACTCTAATGGCGCATTTCTACTACAGCGCAGAGCACGGTTTAAGCTTGCCGTGCCCGGCCCGTTTTTGGTTTCGTTTCCACTAGGCGTGGTTCCGGCTAGCTGGTACTTTTTCACAGTTTTCTGGCTCTCCAAAATCGAGGTTCTTTTCAGGCCAACAACCGGGCTGAGTATGCTAAACTAGTGAGAGAATCGCTGGCAACTACAACAAGATGAACATATTTTACCGTGATTTAATTTGAATACACGTTTCCAAATGATGCCGAAGTAACAACATACTGATACTGGTTAGTAAAAACCATGAATTACTGCTTTGACAAGTCTGCAGACAGACGGCAGGCGAAAAACCTTTTAAAATACGTGTTTTCTAAATGAGATCGGCTAAGCTAACGTCGTATATGCTCCGACCGTCCACGCTCACAACAACGGCCTACAGACATAAATCCTCCAAACTTTAAAATCCTCCTGATTACTCACAAAGCCCTCAACAATCAGCCCCCCCCCCTACCTCACAGACCTGCTGCACCACCACCTCCTATCCATCCCCACCCGCATCAATCACCGGACCTGGGGGGACAGAGCCTTCTCCGTCGCTGCCCCCTCCCTTTGGAACTCACTCCCACAACCCATCAGAGACTGCACTGACCTCACCACCTTCAAAACACTCACCTCTTCAATCTGGCTTTTAATGTGTGACTTTAACTATATATTTATTATTTGTTCTTTTCACTATATCTGTAAAGCGTCTTTGAGCACCTGTAAAAGCACTAACAAAATAAATCTATTAATATTATTATTATTATTATAAATAAACCAGACTGTATTCGCCATGACAGACAGTCTGTGGTTTGTACTTGTTTAACTTCTGTCTAGTTTCTGAACAGATATGAGGAGCTGTGAGCTCTGAGTGCTAACAGCTAACAGCTGATGTTGGTTTTCTGTGGTTCGCGTTGCGGCTCCGCCTACACTGCGTTACTATAGTTACTACCCCAGTTCCTAAACTGTAATGGAAACGCAGCATAAAGGGAGCATGGCCTAACTATACCGTACTAAGCCGTGCGAGGCCCCGCAGTGGAAATGTGCCATACCATAGTGGAGACAAAGACTCAAAACGAAAACAGTAACTATTGTGAAAGAATATTTATGCAAAAAAGAATGTTCCCCTCAAAAAAATGATATGTGCCTTCTGTAATGCAATACAATCTGTGTCTTGCCATGCAAGATAAGAAGATTCCAGTATACATATTTGAATGACAAGGATCATATGGGGAATAGCACTTATTTGCTGCAATATAATAGACGTGAAACGTTCAGTGTATTAAAGGCTGGATTAGGTGCAATTTGGACTGATTTTCTTTGTATGTATGATCACTAGATTTGCTAAATACTCATATTCTGTACACATTTGTTGATGAAGTGTTTGCATGGCTACTCACAGACTTGTTTTGCTGGTTTGTTTGGTTTAGCAGATCTGGGTTTGGTTCACTGAAGTTAGGCACTTCTGAATACACCATGCAGAACCTGTGGAGACAAAACCAGAGTTATAAGAGAACATTCACAAATGGTGAGGGTTTACATTTTCATTGTGTGACCGTTTGAACATTTAGATCATGTGGTTCTTAAATACAGCTGTACAGGAGGATGCATCTGTTCTGTAGAAACCAGAGTGCATGTTCCAGAGTAATAAACATGACTTCCTGAGATTAAAGGTTATATTAACAGAAAAAAAGCAGATAATGGAATTATTCAACAATGTCTATTGTCTATGTTTACATGATAGAATAAATAGGTGTGTATTGATATTATTTAAACTGTGCTTTAAAACCATCCTGTTCCTGATGCAGCTTGCAGCTTGCTTCGGTCTTGTATGCTGCTTATGGCATTCTAACAGGCATAACAACTTTACTGGTGTATGAAGGTTAAGAAAAATGTATTGGTGGCCAGCTACTCACTCTCCAATCTTCTGTAGATCCCCTCCTCTTCCAGTGTATAATGTCAGGCAGCCTTTCCATATGGAAGCATAGCTAAAAATAAAACATCTCAAATTAAACTTCGAAAAAATTAATTATTCATGAAATGTGTAACATCTACATAACCACCTGAACATGAACGTATAGTTATCTGCATTGGTTCATAGTACACAGTCAACTGAGCCAGTGCTGTTCATGTCACCAGTGTGAATGCATGAGATCTCTCCTACCCTCTGGTCAACTTGATGATGTCCCCCGGCTGGATGAGGCTGCCCAGCTCGTCCCACACAGAGATAGCAATGCTCCCGCTCTTGTCTGCCACCTTGCACGAGCGCACCTCATGACCATCTTTCGTTTTGGTTACTCTTCCTAAGGAGAACAAACAAGAAGTTAACATAGTTCAATCAACAGTGATAATACATAATAAATGTCCCCATTGGTGTTACATTTTACCGACAATTCCGCTGGCCCGTTTAATAAAACTACACGCGTTGATGACATGGATATGTATGTAAAAAACCACCTGTATGTAAATTGTAAATAAGCCATTTGTATGTCAAATATGTCTTAAATGATATGATGAATTGGAAATGGGGGACCCTGATGTAAACAAGACAAAAGTCTTTCTCTGGTCTGCATCCCCTTAACAATTGTATGTTTTGAGCTGTACTGTACTGTACCCAATATACAAGCTGTTAATAAACTTTTCAATCAATCAATCAATCAGATAGACTCCTTAAGATAAGAGTCACGGTTCAACTAACTTACCTATTTCCAACACGATGAAAACGATGTTCAAGTTTTTTGAACCGGGCTTCACATCCTTTAGCAAGAACACGGCCTCGCCTGTTGCGGTTGCCATTGTTTCTCAAGAGGAAAAATAAACACTACTCGTCCCCTTACTTTCACTTCAACTCAGTGATCACTGTTTGCAGCTACAACAGAACAGCGTTAGCTTGAGCGTTGCTAACAAATTAGCCTTTAGCCAAATGCTAACTTCGCCCTACTACAAACACTAACGTTAGCGCAAATGTTTAATCACAGGGGCCGGCTTCTACGGTAGTCGTCCAAGTCAAACACAATAAATACCGACACTGGGTGATATAGCTGAAACATACCAGTGACTTTTGACTGCTTTCTTCAAAACAGCTTACACACTAGCAAGGTGGCCGAATTGCGAACCGAGTAGCTTAGCTAATCGTTAGCTGAACAAGCTAGTTTGCTGGCTGCCTTCTTTTGATTTCACTGTACGCGTCTCTGTCCATATATCTTTTTACGATTATCCCCATAATAGCAGCTGTTCACTCACCGATAGCACGAATAAGATCTTAACGATTTAGTAAGGCAGTTGGACTAAATATCAAATTCTGAAAAAATTGTATTATTGTTTTTCAAATCTGAGATGTTTCTGTTTTAACAGAGATACCTCAACTGTCTGTAAGTAACACCAGAGCTTGAGATATTGTCCGTGTTGCAGGCTGTTTGAAGGTAACAATTATCTTCCTCGATCATTAAGACAACTCAAGTTTACGATAGTGTTGTTAAAGCGAGCGCATTTCCTTTGTGTTTCCTCTTATGAACAAACCCGTATATTAGCTTTGCTAGCGCGCGGTCTGGCCAAGTTATTCACAAAAAGACTAGTGTGTAAATATAAAACTGTGACCCTTATATCCAAGGACCTGGTTATGTATGCCTTGACTCTAAAGCCGAAAACACTGTCTACAATCTGTACACGTTGTTAACTAAACGACTTCCCCTGCTTCAAACAATGCCGCAAAAGCTACGTCAATGTGCGTGCGTTGCCGGCCTTATTTATATGACTCGGTCAGTTCCATTATACTTTCAGAAGGGGTACATGACATATACCTTTCCTTTTTGTGCTCTTATTCAATCGAGTCGACAAAATAAGGACAAGTACCAAGCTTATCTTTATAAATACACTGCAGTCATGAATACAAACAAACAATTCGCTGACCTGTTTGGAGAAAATAAAGAGAGTTGTTGGTTTGTACCAAATTAATCTCATTCACAAACAACGCGAGAATAAGCATGTGTGAGTTCAGTATACATCCACGGTTCAGTATCAAATCTGCGACTAACGACTGTAAATTGTTATACAAAGCCAAATAGTCACCTTATTGTTATGTTATCACGACTAATTGCTTCTTCTATTATTAAACATCCAATAAAGGCCAGTGTGACCAACCACTTACTCAGATTGATCACATTGAGTGTTAAATGCGTCCCCATAGAAGTAATCCATGGTACAGAGTGATATAAATTGCTAATGTTAAGGGTTTAGACTGCGTGTTGTAAACATAGAACAATAAAGTTATTTTGTAGCATTTTTTCTTTAGACGCAAAATCGTCACGAACAGGATTCGAACCTGTGCGGGGAAACCCCATTGGATTTCGAGTCCAACGCCTTAACCTCTCGGCCACCGTGACTGTATAAAAGGTTGTAAGAGTCAGGCATCATCTTATATATGCATATATTAGTTTGTATACATATTAATTATGATAACGTTTTACAGACATATACTTGCTGTATAATGTATTCCTTTTTACTGGCTAATTCTAGTGGTATGATTAATAGGGACTATAGGTAAGCTGGTGTTGTCGTAAATTTGACACAAGAGGGAGCCAAACACCATCAAAACAGCTCGAGTTCCTCACGGAAGTTCAGAGAAAACCTTTTTGGAGATGACTTTACCCTATGATTAACCTTAACAGTTTCGATTAGTTTGAGAAAGGCAATGTATATGTATGTCACCAAAACACACCTATGCAACATGATCACTGTTTAACTATGTTGTAAAAAGCAACACCCCTTTACAGATGTGCCGAGTTCTGCAAAAATCGATCTCTTTATCGTTGTTTCATAGTTCGTCCGCTTCCCGATAAACAGGCGGGGAAAGGATTCGAATGTATGGTGCTCATTGTATTGAAAAACTCAGGTATTTAACCAAATAATTTAGAAAACTTTAACTCAAAAGTTTTGCAAATGGACTTCTTCTCCTGTCGTAACAAGTTCCAAGCTATCGCCTAAAGCGTGTTCATGAGCATACTGCCACAGTTGTATTTTTTTAAACAACTGGGCATATAACTTCTAACTATGCAAGTTATTTTGTAAAGGTGAAGCTATCATATATTGTAGCTCTGATCCCAACACCTGTTGTATCATGTTTTTATAGAGCTCAAACTTTGCTATGTAAATAAAGGTTGAGCAATTTAACCACTCCCTTTGCTGAGAATAATCCTACACTACCTTTTACCTACAGCTAGTTTAAATACGGTTTCTTGTGCACTGTAGGTCAAACATGCAAGTCACCAGGATCACATTTAAGCCACACTAAACAACTAGGATGTCATTTGTACCTCCCTTGACATCGCAGACTGCAATAACAAGACCAAAAACAATATGTGGATGTTACAAAATCTTTATTGATGTATAATCTATATTACTAGATGAAACAAGTGTCAGAAGGCGATTATTTAAACCCTCTAGGAATTATTGCTGTTAAGGAAACTTATTTGGTTTAAGTGGTTAAAGGTGGGGTATGTAATTTATTTCAGAAACACTTTTAGTTATGTTCCATGGAATGCTCTTAACATCCCGATAGCAATGAATATATTAAATGCTTTGACAATAAATACATTAAAAAAATATCATCTGTGGAAGCCGTGGCGCTGTAAAAAGCACGACCAATCATCTGAGCCGGCCCGGCTAAAGTAACTGGATGGCCTACCTGCCTGTCAGCCTTCCATCTGTGCACACATTTATCTCGTGCCCTCATTGGTCATGTGCGCGTTCGTGTGTGTTGGAGGAGGGGCTCTGTAAGGAAGTGGCAGATTTGTTCCGGTTGTGTAGGCCTACTTTCAAATTCTAGCGCACTCGAGCTGGTTTCTCCAAAATGACATACCCCACCTTTAACTAGATAAATGGTCTATAAAGAACTCTGTATAAACACAGATGACGTTAAACATCATATCACTACTTGATAAGCAAATATATGTTGCTTAAAACAGCTCCCACATACAGTATGATCCAGACATAAGCAGTCTGCTTTCAGGACACATAATAGGACATAGGACTGTTGCACACATTAACAAATCTATATATTCATTTTTAATATTAGCAGACAAAGATATCAAAGATTTGCATGAATAAGCAGACAATACCTCGAAGCCAGTCACATATTAACCTCTTCAGTTCAAATCATGTTCACATAAACTAGTGTTCAATCCCTTTTCAGCAAGATTATTTATACAAAGAAGAAATAAAAAGAAAGTAAGGATTATCATAATATCATTTAATAAACACAAGTAACGACTTCTTTCAAATCATTCATTTCTTTTAATATACAGATCCCATTAAGCAGATTTGCAGGTTAACGGCAGGTAACATTATGTAGTACATGGATAAAAGGTTTATGTTAAGTCATTTTGAAGATATTTCTGCTATTACATACTTAAGACCTCAATACAGTTTTTGCATAGTGAAAATACTCCCAAAAATTGGGGCACTATATTTTTTTACTTATAGTTAAATCATCTATTTGTAAGGAGGCAGCAATACTCATTACAACTTATTTCAGTTCCCAAGGTCTAATTTTTAAATTGTGCACACATATGCCTAACCCTGAGGCAATTTCATCCCACTTTCCCAGACTTCCCAACACCCAGACTTGTCCTCTTTCCACTACATGCCCAGTAGTTTCCACAGGGGCGGAACACCTGTGGCTTCAGACCGTGTCTTCCTCTCGGCACCGTCTCAACAAGGAGGCCAGAGCATGAAAAATGGGCTGAGCAGGAGTCATCCGTCAAAGCTAGGAATACTGTCTTCTGCCTTCATCCACTTTGCTGACCTCTCTGGATCCTTGGCACCTGGTACCACTTGTTCAATTATTTCTAGGGAGTCATGGCATTAGACATCTGTAACTATGGCTGGTAGAGCACTAATGGTGTGCAACTAGAACAAGTTCACTTTTTGAAACTTCCAGGCATGACTTACAAACTAAAAGTATATGGGGAATGATTGGAAATAGAATTTACACCTTCTATGAACTTCTCAGCTTTTATGACTATGCCCCGTAAAGTGTTAGCTGCGAGGAATTCCTCAGGAGAAAATAAAATAAATCAGGTTTTTTTAGTATCACTCGTATCTACTAAAACATAGGAATCCATACCTTCAGGACTGCAATTACTCATACCATACTCATATTTGCAAGGCAAATACACTGTAGGAGTGTGTGCATGAATCTAGGGGCAAACGATTTAGTGATGGTGACCTGGCAAATGTATAAGATAGTGTTTATATGTTGAATATTGGTAAACATTTCACCATGCAAGTTATTGATGACTATCATGAAGTAACTCAAAACAAATTCACAGATACAACATTTACTGATAAAGTACACACTCAGGGCAGTTATCATAAAGTATGCATTTCATAGTTGTGAAACTGTAAATACCTAGATAGTAGTGTGCCTCACAGAAGAAAATAAATCCTACATTAACATAAAGTTGCCCTGCAAAAAAGCAAAAGGGCTGTACAAGGCACATTTAGTATGTCAGTATTAAACCTGCAGGGTTATTTGTGTTACTAATGCAATATTCTAGTAGCTTCTATCCTGCAACGATGTCCTTCGTTGCACCAGTGTAATTAAGCACAATTGTGTGAGCACTTATTAATAAATGCGTTTGTCCTTTAGCTTTTTTAGGCTAATGATTGACGTGATTTGCATAAACATTTAGACTTTTTCAAATGCCATCTATTTTTCTTACACCTGGAGGATACTCAATTGGCAATCACAAATTAATAACATACTTTACAGCCCTACAAGCACCTCCTGTGGTATGTTAGGTAGAACATACATGATAAAGGTGAAATTGACCAATTGGATTGCACTATGGAAGTATTTCTACGGGCGCAAGTGAAGGACAGGATACGAGACAGTGCCACTCAACTTAATAAAGTTCAACTGTTAGCTCCAAAGATTTTAGTATCAACCTCTAGTCCACAACAAAACACCCCAGAACCTTCTCACTGAAAACCCTGACACTTCTCATTCCATCACTTCTACAACCTGGCAACACACCGCCTCAACATTCTGTGGGCATTACCGCTGCTGCCGAAGATTTACTGTTTTTACAAAAACAAACACAAAGAATGAAGAGGCTGGTCGTCAAAGGCAGACAAACAGAGCAGGAGGGAGATAGTTGGCCCAGTGCCCTGGAGATGTGCTGCTATTGAGGAGGTGGGCACCTGTTAAGGGGAGTGAGTTATGGTACACTGGTGCGTTGGTGCTTTCTTTGGACAACCCTCCCACAGGGTTTAGGAAGCACTTTCATTCGGACACACTGTAGGTGTATGTGTTAACCTAGTTGCTTAAACAGTCCGTTTCAAGGTGTTTTAGACTAAGCTTGTAATAAGGTAGTGGTTAGGGTTAGGGTTGAGTATGCTAGGATGCCAAGAGTATATATTTCTAGTGTTTACGGGTGTTAATAACAAGAACATAAGCCTATTTACAGTGGAGGGATGATTTGTGCCTGCTGGGTAATCATAAATGTAGAAACTTATGCAAGAAAATATATATAATGGCAATCAAGCGACTTGCTCTACAGCAACTGTTGCTGTGGGAATCTGCGTTTCTTCTGCTTTCTCAACAGGGATTTTTTGTTTCTCTTCTTCCTCCTCCTCTTCTCCATCCTCGCCAACATCATCATCAACCTCTGCGACTGCCAGGCCAGCGACATGATCACCATTGATGGCGCACTCAAAGCTTGGTGCCTCTCCATTGATTGCCAGCTGTGCCTTGATGCTGGAGGTGGAGCCGAGCATCTCGTGGATCTGCTCCACCACGCCTTCCCGGGTGTGCTCCTCCGACAGGACAAACTCTCCATCCATGCTTCCCAGAGCAGGAATCTCCACATGGACCTTTTCCTCAGTCGAGCCCAATTCTTGTGTGAGGACCGCCCCGTCTCGGACCTTCTTGACGTTAAAGGTCATGGGGGACACCTTGAAAGAGGACGCCTTGGCAGTCGGGCTCTTGGGATGGTTAGGGGTGAAGCTCTTTTTTATTTTCTCACGCTGCTCCTGAGGCACGATTCTTGTGGTGATCTGGGTCATCTTTTTCTCGATGCTCTGACGCGAGAACACCTTCTTGAGGCTGTCCACCTTCTTCAGGCTGTTGCGCTTGAACTTGTCAGACCTTCTCTCATACGGGCTGGAAGGGCCCAGGCCCATCGCGGCGTCGCCCTCAAACATCTCGTCCTCCTCATGGTATATTGTAAGATCATCGTCGTCTGAGGAGAGGCTGATGGTCAGAAGACCTTCATCATTGGCACGGCTGCCATCAATAGAGCCGGCAACAGACGGAGCAGGAAGGATGGAGTCTGCATCATACTGGCTTGGTTGGGGGGTCCTGAGGGAGTCCTTGACAAGCACGCTGGTGGGGATCTCATGGTCTTCCTATAGTGAAACAGAAGGACAGAAACAGGGGGGTTAAGTGGGTGGTTATTTTACGAAGTCATATATAGGCATTATTGCTTGAACAAAGCTTTAGTTTGACAAGGAATTACATTGATGGTATCTTTGTTTGAATTGGTTCTGGTCAGAGTTAGAGTATACAACTTTACTAGTTCCAATGATGAGTACTTTCAAACACATATTGCCATCAAAATGTAAATGTATGTCTTATGTCATGGTTAGCCATTGTAATACACTACACATATTGAGCTGCAGAGGACTGAGGAAACCAGTCTCTGCATGCTTCCCCCTTCTTCTCCTGAAGCCATATGAAGAGTTCCACCTGTTTCTCAGTAGGAGTCTTACATTTCACTCAATTTCTTTCCTCTTGCATTGCTCTCTCTGCCTTTAACTGGCCATGCTAGAACACATCAATGGCCATAAACACAGTGAAATTGAGAGCAGTAGGTTCACTATCCAGAGTTTCAATTGGTTTTTCCTCAGTCTCTTCTTCCTCCCCCTTGCTTGCTGCCCATTCATCCATGCACAATCGCGCAATCACACACATGCAGGCACACGCATACACAATGTTCCACTCCACTAGGGATGTATGAGTGAGTGTTCCCACCCCCCCCATTATTTTACACCCAGGAGTGAGTGGAGAGTGAAGGTGCAGCTTCAGTGGTTGACATACTCCACTACACATTTGAAAGGCTTGTAGACAAACCCTTCCTGTGACATCAGCTTTAAGTGCCACCAGTGGATACTTGGGTTTGAGTTGACTAAATACAACACAGTGTGCTGCACATTGTTGTGTTCAGGTACAAGGTATGTCTAGGTACGAGTCCAGCAAAGGCTTGAATGAATCGATTTGAGTTCTTGTGATCCCCAAAGTGCTAACCAAGCTTTAGTTGTTGTTTTTTTGGGCTAGGATTACAGAAGCATAATGAAACTGGGTTTTCCAAGGGTGAGATTATTCACCGTTTGATTCAAAATATTGTTGCTTCTGAATCAAACTATAAATAGTCACAGGTCAAACTTCTCAAATATAAGATGTTTACCCTCATGAAATATCAATATGAGGCGCTAGTATCGGCCACTGTCACCATCACTATACTGTATGTTGCAATGACATACTTTTAAATGATAGTTTCTGTTCACCATGTTTGTAACAATGAGTCTGCATTAAAGTATGAATGCATTTCCAAGAATGCACGAAAGCTCTTAAGACATTACAGCATACTTACTTACAGCATGCCATAGGTTTTTGAAGGAGTGAGCAATGCATCTTTTCCTGGGGTGTCATTAAGACATACTTAAGGATTGGGCCAACCAGATGGAGTCCTGCCTCCAGTCCATTCTTCACTAAACACTCAATGGTGTGTTTCAGCCTCGAGGGATGGGGGTATTAAACCTGCCATCTCTCTTTCGACCATTCAAGCCAATTTTGGGCAAATGATGTTTTAGTATATGAAAATGAGATGCAAAAGGAAGTACTCCATCAGAGATTGAAAGGTCCTATAGCCTACATATTATTAAGTTACTTTTGCACCATGTTATGAATTTCTCTTATTTCATACATTGCCTGAGAGAGTGCTCTTTTTAGGCACCTAAACAATATCATTGTGTATGGAAAGCTCTTGAGACGTGAAGACACCATGTAGAAAACCTCTTGTTTTTCAACTTTGCAGACACCCGATACCTCTAGCCTTGATCCAAACATGCAGTCATGAGTTCAGGTGTGTGCCAAGCATGTGTGGTATCTCCCAGTAAATGCTCATAGATCTGTCAGCCTGTTCTTAAAAGGCACATCATCAACTGCAGAGCCATGTTTACACGGAAAGAGATAAAAGACAGTTTTAAAAACGTATAAATATATAGCACAAAATATCGTACAATAGGGGTTACTAGTAAGGGTGGATACATTGAACATACTGTATGTGCTGACAGTGTGTCAGAATGTATTTACCACCAACAACCACAAAGGTCCATGTCGCCTTTCTAAAAAAAGCTGGGAGTTGTATTGAATTGCAGGTTTGTAACTTGAAAACCCCAAAAAGACAAAAGTAGCATCTTGGGGAACCACAGCTCCTGTTACTACTACCTTTGGTTTGGTCCCTTTGGGTTTGGTTCTCTGTAGCTCTCTCCTGTCAAATCTGAATGAGCAGTATCTGGGTTTTTGCTTGGTCTGACACGGCACCACACCTACAAAAACTGTGTGGATCTCAACGTGTTTAAGCAGAATCAAATCAGAGTCAGAACTAGGTGGGTTACAGCCCGTGTACTGGGCAAGTTAGGTGTACATTAATACAGGAGAGCTACTTGAAGGGAGATAATATTACTTGGAAGTTATGCTTATCTTTTTTTCTCTGTGTACATTTCAGGTCAAACACAGTCAACCAGTATGACGTTTGACATTTTGGGTTCAGAATTTGAAAGAAACGGGTCCAATATGGCCTTTCCAGACCCTCATTGGAACATTCCCTGATAATGAACACTAATCCCCCTCGTCTGGTGGTGTTAACGTTTCTAAAGATTTCAATCGTGGCTCCTCTGCTCCAGTCTAGGCACGCCGAAGATTTTCTGATTTGGCTCAAACATGTTTGATATAATCACTGTGGGTGCTGGAGTGTGTGGGAGGCAGCAACTGAAACTCAAACACCCTCCAATGAAAACCAAGTTCTCCTAATACATGCTGTCCTAAACCTGCCTTACTCAAGCTGATAAATACAATCAATGCCTCACTTGTCAAATGTAATTGACAAGTGCTTATACTAGTCCTACAGCCAATCTCAAGTGTCCATCCGGGCCTTTTTATCACCAGCATTAAATGTATCTGGCTCTTTTTATACTCTTTTATTTGGTTTGAATGGAAAATATGTTGTTTGGTTGTCCAATAGTGTAATGGAGTGAAATGAGTGTCCTCAGTTTAACCCACAACAGTTTTGGCGAACAAGCTAGAATAAACAAAATCTTCCTAAATACCCTTTGACCCAGGTCTATTTTCTCTCTGTGTCAGTGTGTGTGTGGACCTCACACTCTGGCACTTTTCTCTTGGGAACCCTGCTAATGACTGCATCCTCTAAGCAAGCACTCATTAGCCACTGCGAATGTAGTATGTGTTCGTATGTGTATGAGTGTCTGTGTGCCAGTATGTATTTGTGCAACCATGTAGGACATAAGTTAAAAAAAAAGTGTTTAAAAGAGCAAGATGAGTAAATTAACACACATTTGGAGCAAACCAAGGAAACGATGTTAATTTAGCGTGACAGCAAGTTCATTGGTACGTTCGCACTTCAAAGACATTCGGAACGCTTATGTAATGGAGTCTCATTTAACAGTTGCATGGTAGAACTGCCATCTAATTGCAAGTCCTGCAAGGTGTTACTAAGCTAGAGCTTATGTAAGGGCGCTCTGCGGAGTCTCTGCTCTATTCAAACGGAGAGAGATCAGGGCGGGGCAGCACAGAGTCTCCACTGATGGGATCATGTTACTCTGAGTGTGTGTGTGTGTGTGTCTCTGTTTATACCAAATGTGTAATGATACCCTATGATGTTACTTTGCCTTTTGTTCTCTTGCCTTTGTGTGTGTGTGTGTGTGGTGTGTGGTGTGGTGTGTGTGGTGTGTGTGTGTGTGTGTGTGTGTGTGTGTGTGTGTGTGTGTGTGTGTGTGTGTGTGTGTGTGTGTGTGTGTGTGTGTGTGTGTGTGTGTGTGTGTGTGTGTGTGTAATTAATGACAATCCCATCATTCTTAGCTGTACTAGGTGTTTGGTGCTAATTAACAAACTTGATCACACTGTCACACTAAACTACGGCTGTATATAATGTCATGTTTCCCCCCCTATTTTTCAAATAAAGCATGAAGCATATTTTATGACGTCATTACCATGGAAGTAACAATCTTTTTTATTAATCCAACATCATCAATGCAAAGTAAAAACATTGATATACTGTTATCTTGGTGTTGATGCACAGTGCCGATGGCAAGCAGTGGCGCGGGCCGAATATTCGCTGCTGATTACAACCGAATATCCGGAGCCCGAAAAATGGTATTCGGGACAGCCCTAGAACGTACCAGTGCAATGTCAGTACAGTTTATTATTATTGTAGGAGTTGTTTTTTTTTGTAACTAAACAAATATTCTCAAAGGGCCCAGTAAAAACACATCAATAGAAGGTGAACTTGAGCGAGATGATATAACTGATTATGTTATAAAAAGCATTAGATATTGTCTGGTATCTATTGCAGGCCCTTCAATGGAATCAGTCTGTGTTTCTAAATTGGGGTTTTCTATTTTAAAATGTTTTGACATCATGTATGAGGGTTTTCAGTCTGTGGCTAGAAGGACGGCTTTATTGTCTTGTGCTTTTACATTAGTTTATTTTTGTCTAAATGTATTTATGCTGCTTTTTAATATATTTATTGATATACAGCACTTTGGTCAACTCTGTTGTTTTTAAATGTGCTATATAAATAAAGTTGGATTGGAAACAAAAATAATATCGAAAGCATATCCTGGAGAAGGCAAATATCGAATTGCTGTAAAAATATTGTACTGTAATAGTGATAAAAACGGTCATTTAAACCTTCCACAAAATAGTTATTTTTTCAATAGGCGATTTATTGAATTAAAGGAGATTTTGAAATAAATGTTAAATAAAGCTAATAATAACAACTGTTGGTTGTTGGTTGTAAGTGGGAGTGTGTGTTGGGAACCTCAAAAAGGAGTGTTTCCCTGGCCCTTCAGATGATGAATGGAAGATATTCTAAATCCTAACAGGTGAGGTTAGTACAGGTGTGTTGGCACAGTGAGTCAGGTGCCAATGAGAGGGTACACCATCACCACCACACTCACAGAAATGCATGTGTGTGCACATTTGCTACTGCCAAGTCCCTGCAATTATTCTGTTACAGAATGAAAAAGACAGGAAGCTTAGATAAAAAAAAAAGGGAGAACAGAGACTGCACACAAAATGAATCAAAACGTTTTATAGCTTGATAGCA